GGGCAAACTTTTTGGCCCGAGGGCCACATCTGGGTATAGAAATTGTATGGAGGGCCATGAATGCTCACAAAATTGGGTTTGGGGTGTGGAAGGGGGTGAGGGCTCTGGCTGGGGGTGCAGGCTCTGGTGTAGGGCCAGAAATGAGGAGTTCAGGGTGCAGGAGGGGAGGGCTGGGGCAGCAGGGGTGGCACAGGGCAGGGGGGTGCAGGCTCTGGGAATGAGGCGTTTGGAGTGCAGGAAGGTGCTCCGGGCTGAGACCGAGGTGTTCGGAGAGTGTGAGGGGGATCAGGGCTGGGACAGGAGGTTGGGCCATGGGGGAGTTGAGGGCTCCGGCTAGGGATGCAGGTTCTGGGGTGGGGCTGGGGATGAGAGGTTTGGGGTGCAGGAGGGTGCTCCAGGCTGGGACCAAGTGGTTCGGAGGGCGGGGAGGGGGATCAGGGCTGGGGCAGGGTGTTGGAGCGCTGGGGGGTGGGTGGTGTGTCAGGGGTGCAGGCTCCAGGCGGCGCTTACCTCAAGCAGCTCCCGGAAGCAGCGGCATGTCCCCCCTCCGGCTCCTACGTGGAGGCATGGCCAGGTGGTTCTGCTGCACGCTGCCCTGTCCGCAAGCACCGCCCCGTCCGCAGGTGTGCCATTGGCTGTGGTGCCAATGGCAGCTGCAGGGGTGGCGCTTGGGGTGGGGGCAGCGTGCAGAGCGGAGTCCCCTGGATGCCTCTATGCACAGGAGCTGGAGGGGGGACATGTTGCTGCTTCTGGGAGCCACGCAGAGTGGCCCCCAACCATGCTCCTCGGCTGGAGAGCCGGATCAGCGCAAACCCCAGACCCCACTCGCCACTCTCCAGCGAGAACTTGAGGGCCGGATTAAAACGGCTGGCGGGCCAGATGCGTCCATAGTTTGCCCACCCCTGGCCTAGAGGGTCCTGTTCGGGTCTTAATGTGCAGACATGCTGTATTTACTAGTCACATTTTTCAGTGCTAATATGGAAATGTGGTAAACAAACCTGAAGCAACTTTTCCAGAACAGGTGCCACAAACACCTTCAGGGATGATCTACAAATATTTGGTCCCACCTCAGTGTGGGAGGTGTACTAGATGGCATTGCGAGGTCTCTTCCAGCACAATGTTTCTATGACTATGAAGTTTTGAGCAACGAAAGTGAATCTTCTAAGAGAAAGAAATTACCCAGTATAATCATTCCCAGGGCC